AGGGTTTTATGTTGCATCAAGGTGCTTGCATCAAAATGACCTCAAGTGATCCCCAATGTCCTAAAATGTTCTCAAGATCATCCATGTCAAATTTCAAGCCTTGCAGAGGAAGTTTGCTCAGTTAATTGCTCAAAGAGTCCAAAAATCGACTGTGCTAGGGCAAAAGTCAACTGTGACCCAAATACAGTCAAACCTCAAGATTTTTTATCAACATTCTCATTTTGAAGGATATTTCATCATTTGATCAAAGTTTCATCATGATTCATCAAGGATTGCTCAAAATTCATCAAGACTCAAAAGTTGCTAAATTAGGGTTTTTTAGGAAAAGTCAACTCAACTTTGACCAAGCATAACTTTCTCATACTTTATCAGAAATGACCCATCCAAATCTCATTTTTAAGAGGATGTAATTTCCTACAATCCATATTCATACCCCAAGATCAATAAATTCACTCACAAGAAGTTATGAATTTGGAAATTATAGGTCATTTTTTAAAGTCAACAAAAACACTTTTTTTTCCAAAGCTTATAACTCTATCATGGAATATCAAAATGAGATAAGACCAAAAGGGTTAGTTAGAGTACATATCAAGATTTCTAAAAAGTCAAAGAACACTTCCAAAAGTTCAAAATTGAAGAAGTTATGCATTGTTGAAGTTGGGCATTTTTGCAAAATGGCTAAAAGTCAACTATCCCCAAAACTTCAAATTTTGTCAAATGGGCCCATTCTTTTCCACTTGATTTGATCTTGTAACACTACACACGTGTCCTAGCTTCATCCTTGTGTCCATTTATCAATTTTATTATTTTATTTTATTTTTTATTGAATTAATTCATTTTAAGTCAATTTAAATCAAATAAAATCACAAAACTTGATTACATGAGATCTTTTTCTATTTTCAGGACCTAATCACCATCAATATCATGATCAAATTCGTATCAAGCATTACATGTGCAAAAAGATTGGATTTTTCGCAAAATTGGAAAGCTTTAAATGGAGGATCAAATCCAATCTCAAGGCATTGATTTGGAAGGATTCAACCCATATTTGTTGACCTAATGCATTGCTTATTACTTATACAAGCCAAAGCACACGAGATCAAGGGCTAGAGGCTGCAGAATCATCAAGAACCAAACTTGAAAAAAGGTGAAAAAGTGTGAAATTGAAATCGTTCTTAGAGGCAAATTCAAAGGCAAATCTCAACACTAATCCATTGTTGGACAATCACTGAACCTCCTGCAATCAAAAGCAAGCTCTCACACCCTCTCAATCGCACTGTAAGTGTCTCAAAATACCGCCCTGTATTCAAAATCATAACTCCACATTCTTGCGCTTTTCTTACAAAATCTTTGCATATTCATGATGCTTATGAAATTTCTAAACTTTTGGCATTGTTTGATTGCATTTATATGTACTATAGCCCTATAACGGAACCTAGGGTTTCGTAGCTTATTTCTTGGGCCTTTCTTTTACAGGAAAAATTGATGCCATTGATGGACACAGATGTAACCAGGGAAGGTAGACGAGCACAACCATGGTCTTGGGGTTTGTTTTCATGGCCTAGAATCAATTTTTGGAATGTCCTGCGAATTTAGCTGCGGATATAAATCCGCAGGTAAATGTTCAGGGTGGAACGAAGAAGACGAAGACGTGTCTCCCTCCTAGTGGCCGATTCAAATACTTGGCGCGTTTTCTTTTTTGTCTGGCATAATGATGCGTTTTTATATATTATGTTTAGTTTGTATTTTACTAACAATTGAAGCATAATGGTCCAGTGGTCAAGGGGAGCGCTCTCAAGGCATTATTGGCTGCAGGTCAGGGGTTCGATCCCTGCCTCCAACGCTTTACATTTTCCCTTATTTTATCATGCAATCAGGTACAAACCAAGTGCTGGAAGCCTATCATGTGCCCTCAAATCTCAAAGCGCCAGATGGCCCCAGGCCAGATCTCGTGGTCCAAATGGGATGCCTACCATACTCCCTACTCAAAGTGCCACGTTGGATTCAAAAGGTCCACCAGGCCAGCATGCAAATGGGCCATGGAAATTGCTGAATGAACCTCCAAAATCAGGCCCAAACCCTATTTTTTAACTCTCTTCCATATTTATTTTTATTCTTGTTATTTTTATTTAATTATTCTCATTATTTTTAACTAACCAATTAAATCTTTTTTTTCATTAAAATTAAAACCAAAAAATATTTTATTTATTAAAATTAAAATTCAGTAATTTATTTTTGTTAATAAACATTAATTTAATTAATTTAGTTTAATTAGGAAATAACTTTAATATCTTTTGCAATAATTAAAACTAACTTAGACAATTAGGTTTTTTATTAACTTTGACTAATTTATTTTTATTTCTTTAAATATCAAAAATCCAAAAAATATTTATTTCCATTAATTAATTTATTTATTTATTAATTTAATAATTAACTTAGATCTAATTTCTTTTTAATTCAAAATAACCAAAAAAAATCCTTTCTTTAATAATCAAAGGGCCAAAACCCTAAGATTTCGCACTCGATTTAAGTTCCTGCGCTCTTTATTTGTTTTTATCCAATAATGTACCTGCTTCCGGATTGTAATAGTTAAATAGGATATTTAATTATTTTTACCGCTTTATTTTATTTTTCAAAGGGTTTGTCTTTGGCGATGTAAATACCCGACGCCTTGTAATTTAAATTCCGCATTTTAAATTCCACAAATTATAACTACTAGATGTTTGATAATAGGTATGCATGACAAGAATGAATGTTTAACCTAAAATCAACTTAGATCACCATTAACATGTACAAAGACAAAAATTAACTGAAAACGACACACTCGCACTTGCGCACTCTTAGGGTACACCCCACTTGGTTGCCTTCGTACGCGGTCATTAAGTATAGGTCACTTTAGAGGTCGCCCTCTTGTCCAAAGATCATAGTTGCCTCGAAACGGTTGCCTCGGAAAAATGATCTAAGACATTAGGGTTACCGCTAAAACGTCCTAACATTGCTTTAGTGACCGCACGTCCCTTAATCAAATTGACCCTTAAACTCCAACGACGATGCTACCTACTCATCTATAGTGGGATAGCATTGTCTAAAGAACATTAGTACAGATTGATTCCTTTTTTCGAGTAGGTAGATGGTTCTTAAGTACTTGCTCTTTCCAAAACAAAAACAAAACTTTCCACACCTACACCTTTCAAACAAAAAACTCTTTCAAACGCACTACAAGAAAATTGGCAGATTGCGACAGGTATTTTTGTAGATTACGACGGTTAAAACCGTCGCAATTTGCTTTCCACGACGCTTGCTTTACTGTCGCAGAAGTGTGTGTCCCCAACCTATTTCGCGACGGTTACAAAAACTGTCGTTCAAGTTTACGACGGGTTTGGAGCTGACATAATCAAGTATTGGTGACTGTTTGATACCGTCGTGACTATCTTTTGAGTTTCTTTTAATTATTGATGGCGACGGTTCGATACTGTCGTGAATATCTTTTGAAATTGATTAAATTGTTTATGGCGACGGTTCGATACCGTCATGACTTTTGTTGATTATTTTTAATTGTTGATTACGACGGTTCGGTACTGTCGCCATGACTTTTGTTTATGTCTTGATTTTTTTTTTCTATTATATATATTTTTTATTTAAATTATTATCTATATAAAAAATTTTAAATATAGTTTTTTTTTGTGTTATTTTTTTCTTTAAATTATTTCTTCTTTAATATATTTATTTATAGTATTATTTTTTGTTTTATTTTCTATCACTTTGTAATATAGTAAAAATAATTTCAATAAAAAATATTTAACATCAAATAAGCATTATAATATCCAAAAAAATGTGTGTTCCATAATCATGTAAAATGCGAGTTCCATAATCATGTCAAGTAGTACAAAAAACCCAAAATATATCAATTCCTAATCTTATAATAATAAGTATCATTATGCCAAAAATACATGAGAAAGTTCACAATCTAATTATCTCGATCATAGCAAAGTCTAATTTGTCCCCCCTGAAGTTCCATTATCTCCAATACGGTAGCTAGACTCAGATGAACGTCTACCATCAGCGGGTGATTCCAATCCCTAAAAAAAGGTATTAAAATAATAATCTTTAAAATAATACTCATAAAATTTAACTTTAAATGCGTCAAAATAATATACCTGTCTTCCACTAAAATTCTGCATTTGCATTAAGAGTTCAATTTTCTTTGTACTCGCCTTGTCCCTTTGCGTTAAGAATATGATTGCCTGTGTTAATTCATCAATTTTTGAATTCTTTTCTTTAAGTGCATTAATTTCTTCTTGCATTTCCTTTATTTGTTCACTTTCTGCAGAAGAAGATGTCGATCTCGTAGATCTATTAATTTGAGATGGTGTAACTCGAAGTCCCATACTACGAACATATCCATGCTTTTCTTTTCCAAATACTTTCTGAAATGCCTCATTTTCAGACACAGAATCCTTAATTGCAGCTTGTAATTTTTTCTGCACATGAAAAAGAAAAAATTGAGCTATTGTTTATATAACAAGAATAATATATTGGGGGAGAACCTCTTGATCAAATCATGGACTTCCATATATACGTAAAAAGAAGTTGGCACAAACTAGGAGGTGGCACAAACTATTGCAAATGTGACATGGAGAATTGTTTACAAGAAGTTCAGTAAAGCTTGCTATCCACCATTCTTCAGTATAAACAAAATCACTCTAGGATATTTATTCTGAAATTTCCCACTAAAGTTACCCCACAGTTTTCAATGTTTCAAATATATGTCAAATGCAGCATAGGTGATTTTTCCATTACAACTTACGCTTCTAATTTATGCAGGTATGATGCCTCTTATTTCCTGTGTTCTACTGGTTGGTCTCTTTATTTTGCAACACCGTGGCTCCCACGCGATTGCTTTCATGTTTCCTCCCATAATCATCCTATGGTTACTATCTATTGGAAGTATAAATGGTTAAAGTATTGGATAATGTAAATGCAATTCACCAAAGAAAAACTCACCTGCAAAATGCATCCAACTGTGCTAGTAGAAGTTTATTAGACAAGTTTGATGATTCCCCTACATCTTTTGATGTGTTATAAAATGTAAGCTCTGGACCAACAGCCTACAAACAGATATTCTGGCTAAGACATTAAAATAGAAAAAAGACAAACAAGATACTTGTAAGTGAGAACCGTTACTTGTTGTGGTAATTGTCTTTGTTGAAAATTTCATATCAAAAGGACAATATATTTTACTGCATAAAAATAAAATATGCAAGAAGCAAAATGTCACGACATGATCCTGCACTTGGGTGAGTGAGGTTTCAAGGGTATACTCAAGGAGAAAAAAAACTGTTAGGGTTAGTGGGTCAATTTTAAGCGGTTATAGAAGGAATGATAAGTAATTAATTTCTGTAAAAAAGATGATAGATAATTAAAATGTTGAAATAATAATAGGAAAGCAACTTTTGTGAAAATGAATAAAATCAATATTTTCATAGTAGGATTAGAGAAAACCACTTGTAAGAGGACTCCAAACCAATATATGTGAGAAGGAAACTCTGTTCAGAGATTTATTCCTTAAACTCCCTTTTCTTTGTCACCATAGGATTTATACTTATTTGTTTCAGCTGATGGCAGATCTTTTACTTTGATAATAGATTTTCCCTTGGTCTATTTATCATTGTTTTCTTCAAACGGGTGGGTTCTATTGGATTGATTTTACTATTAGGAATTTATCACTTAAGAAATAGCTACAATACTACAAATGATTAGCGAAACAATAGAATGAACTGAGTTTAGGGGTGTAGAAGAACTAAAATTACAAATATTACAATGTTAGGATGCATAAGAAGTTAGTGTAAAGGAAAAAATAGGATTCCGAGTTGGAAATAGAACCATATTAATATTCCACACTTCCAAGTAGTTTTTGGTAATTAGTATTGACAGTTATAGCTATTGTAGTCAGGCTGTGAACTAGAGAATATCACACGTGCACTTAATGAAGTATCTATGCTATTAATCTCCTTGTAAATATAAATTATGTTTATTATTGAGGGTATATAGAAGAACAGCTGAGAGCAACTTACTAAATTCCAAGTATTCACATTAAGAATACAACTAATAAAAAGAAAATTGGAATAGCACTCATTCTAAAAAATATTTGACTCTTGTATTCAGTGATTTGGAAATGAGTGGGGAATTACTCGTAGAACCTTAGTAAGAAGGGTTGACGGAATGAAAAGTAGTCCATCCAATAGTTAGTCTGAGAGTTTTTGGTTGGGACTAAATCATCCCTTCATACCCAACACGGTGAAAGGGTTGTAGGCTGCAACAATTAGGTGGCTAAGGGGAGAGTGCAACGAAGGCGAAATTTCCAACACACCCCTCTTTGGGGCCAATCCTGAAGTGTGGACGATGCAGGAAATCCAACAACATATTTAGAATAGACTCTACCATCTTAGAAATTGAATTGAGTTTAACTCAACCTTTTAAAACCAGCTTGTAAGATGTAGATTGTCCCTACTTATAAACATATATTCAAGTCATCTTTCATTGTGGTAAACCATGATGTGGTATTATCTATGTATTCACTCACACCTCGTGATAAATGGTATGAAAGGGTGAAATTCCAACAGTTTGCTAAAAGTGGTTGTTTATATGAATGTCGCTAACAACAATTCACAACTCCAAGCAAAAGTACACTTACACAACTCTCCCATCATTACAATCAACCACACATTCAATAATTCGCAAGTGTATAAATATTTAACTTTATCAACACTTAACCTGAAGCTCAACGATAACCTCCGCAGAGCTATTAGCTGCATTATTCTGGGATGGTACTTCATGCACGCTACCTCTCGGAGATATTGCCTGAGGACTTTCAACTGATTGTTCCAAATAGACATGGTCATCATTTAAAGCTGAATAACTACTATTTGCCCCAAGAAAAACACAAGAATCCAAGTGCTGTCCACCCTGCAAACAGATAACCAGGGAAATTAGTTTGGGCATGCATCGAAATCTTAAATTCATAGAGTAGTCAGAGAACAAAATGGATAAAGTGAGGCACTGAAACCTTAATAACAACATTTCTAAATTGCAATTTTTTCCCATTTCCAATATAGATTATAGCCTCTGAGCTAGCTGATGTAAGATTCAAACCCCGCCCATCTTTTAAATATAGAATTCCACCATCCCCATCATAAATGAAATGATCAAAATTTTCATCATCAACTATTAAAGGCTTTTGAGGTGAGAGGGAAAATTCAGCACAAGGTTGCTTGTAGATAGACTGATCTATGATGATTGCATCCAGCATGGAGGAATTGTGTTCTTCAAATGATAGCATACTGCTGACTGTTGGAACAAAAAACTCAACTACAGCAAGAAGAAAATCTAGTGCAACAAGTAACTGAGGTCTCTGGATACACACAGAAACAAATGTTGAATCCGGACCAAATTTCATATCAACAATGAGCATTGTTTGAACTGGTTCAAAATTATTCCCTTTACTTGAGCTACTATCAATTGACTCCTGATTTTCATAATACGACAGTGTACTTGGAGGACTGGCTCCAATGCTCTCAGGCTTTCCTATTGCTAACCGAAATCCTTGTTCAACTCCTTCCCGGTCATCAAAAACACTGAAACCTTGTAGTGTTGCAGAAAGGAATCCATTTCCTGCTGTACTGGATTTGTACAGTAGCCATGCACTGCTGACCTGCACAAGAGAAACAAGAGTAGAACAATTCAATAGTTAATTGTACTATCATCCTGAAGTTAACAAATGATGCATTACATTGAAAATAATAAAACAGATATACAAAAAATAAAAGAATGTATGAGAATATAAAAAATAGTATCAAGAAACATATAATTGAATTCAAAACATGAAAAGCATATACCTGCCATGGCTTGCCAAACTCATCCAAAGCCTCCTTGAGAGCACTTTCAGCCCTATCCCACGTTTCATCATCTCCAAGCTTATTCTCTGGCCTCTACTCAAGTATTTAACACAGGCAAGGAAAAATAAATAACTGAGTCATTAAATAGATTAAACCAATTACTAACAGCAGAGTCTACCAAGCTTATCATGTACTACTATATCATGTATCAGAAGAAAAGAAAATAACAAGCACTGTCAATAAGCACAAAACCTAACGCCTGCTCACAAAAAAAAGTTTTTGTTTATTGTTTTTACCATTCGCTAGGACACTTAATGTGATAATAATAATAAAGAATAGATAGCATAATGATGAATGGTGAGGCAATCGAGTACTAAGCTATAACCAAACATTGAATGAGAAAACACTTGCATATTGACAAAGGTAAAGGTGACAACAAGTGAAACAAAAACAATACTGGCTACTTAGAACTAGAAAAATTGCCTTTGATTGAAACAGACATGTCCACAATACAAAAATACAATGCTACCTGCCTACCTGAGAATTTCAATTCTCTACCATCCATTTATATTTGTTTGCTGATCTGCTGCTGTATACTGAACTCCTACTGAATTTTCTCTTTTGGGGTATGAATTCAACTTAATATACTTACATTCCCTCTTGAAGTTTTTTGAATTTGATACATGAAGTAACAACTGGTTTCTGTTTAATTATCATTTGAATCGGTTCGACCTATTTTCACTAATTTTAATACATAATCTGTACTTGCTTCAACCTGTTTAATAAGCCAGTCTGATACATAATCTGTACTTGCTTCAACCTGTTTAATAAGCCAGTCTGATTTTTTAAGCAATGACCTATACTCGCGCCACATTATCCACAATTATAGTTTGATATGAGTTACTAAGCACTGTTATTTTTAATCTCTTTATAATTTAGTTTAGGTTTTAAAATCAAATGATTTGTTAGACACTTTTTTTGAAAAATGTCATTGTTTCTTTATTTTTAAGGAAGTATTTCTTCAACATTAGATAAGTAGATAATATCAGACAAACTTTTCTGCATAATTTTTTTCATACACATGAATCTCAAATCAAACCTAACATTATATGCTCAAGAATTTCATGAAAATAAAATAAGACAGAGCCTCTTTTATTTTAAAAGAAAGAAGCTAAAAGCAACAAAAATAAACTTTTGTTCAAGAAAACAAAGTTTTAGACTTTCAAAGTTAAACAATAATGTTGGAGTCATCAATTTGATATGAAGAGTTTTTACAAATGAAACAAGTGCTAAATATTGGAGCAAGGAGAATCTGCCTAACAATTAGTACAATTAGACTTAAGAGTGTGCTCTACTAGCTTCCCTACCTAAATTCCATGGTCTGCCACCGAAAGGATCGATCATTCACAAATCATGCCAGCTTGAGGACGGTTAGTTTTTCGATATTAATGATAAAAACCCCAAGTTTGCAATTCATTCACCTGCCATTATCTTTGAATATGTTTTGAGATGAAAACACTTCTTAGTTCATATTTGATCCACTCTTCTGTCGCAGAGAATATACACCGAGAACCACAACTAGTTCTTTTTAGTCAATTTACATCCCTAACTAACACCTGTAGAACCAAACAAATTGCAAGTACAACTGTAAGTAGTGGTAATTCAAAGTGTAATGAAGAAAACCCTTCATGAATGTGCTTTACAATAGCTAACGTGTTCACGAACCTTAGCCAATCATTTAACCACTTTTCCAGCCAAAGCTTTGTGACTATCTATCAGTATTTCATTCATTTGTGCAATCTGGTGCAAAAGTTGGGCAATTTTCTGTAAATAAAACAATCAGAGTCAGCAAACATACACCAGAGAAATAGAGGACAGTCAAGAATCTCCAAAAAGAAAAAGGCTTCAAGTGAGAGAATGAATAAACAGAAAGCAGAGAAAGACAAACATGATTGTATTTGTAGAGGTCAATGAACTAATAGAAACTAAGACAGACAAACGTGATCAAAATATTGGATCTTCTATTTGTGCACACTGCAAAAATGCAAACTACGGACTCAATCTAGAGAAGAATGTAGCCGAGCAGAATAAAACAAAATATTAAACAAGACAAGAAAACAAAATATTAAACAAGACAAGGTTATCATGCGCAGAGAAGTCAATAGCAGCACTATCCACTATAGCAGAGCAGAGACTGGCCTCTACGGAAAGAGTCTTAGCAATGAAAAACACTATAGTGGCCGCTATAGGGAAAATAGCCCGTAGCGGGGAGCGGTTCTTGGCCTGGAGCGGTTTTTGTCTCGCTATCTTCCTCTCTAAAAATCCGAAATGGCCCCTTAAATGCATAGCATAAATGCATAAAAATGCTGAAATTGTAATGAAAAAGAAAATGCAAAAAAGAAAAGAAATAGAATTAGAACGAACCCCATCTTTCTCCAGAATGATTTGCAGAAGACGGGACTGATTGGGTGTGAGGTTCCTCCTACTCTCCTTCCTCTTCATCAACATCAGGACTATGATAACCACCATGGCCGCTGGTAACCCATATGACCGAATTGCCCCTCCAGGGTTCCGAATAGAGGAAACCGCGGAAAAGAACTTGGAACGTGAGATCTGGAAGCCAATGCTCATCCACCCACCTTTCCGGAGGCTAGAATCGAGCGGTGGGGAGAGAGAAGAATATTGAAAGTGAATTCCAATTCCAATTCTATTTATATTCGGTGTCAAGGGGTTTCTTTCGGTGTGAAGAAGAACGGCATGAACGGCACCGTGAGTAGAAAAAGTGAACGCAGGAGTAGAAAGTGAATTGATGTTTTATGTATTTTAAGAGCTTTTTAACTTTTTTACGACGACGGGTGTTTTACCGTCGTGTCCATGAGAATTTTTAAAGGTTTTGGGTGCGACGGTTGTTTTACCGTCGTGAAATGAATTTTAGGACGGATAATTTTACCATCGTGAAAGGTTTAAGGGTGCGACGGGTGCTTTACCGTCGTGATATGCCTTTTAGGACGGTTAATTTTACCGTCGTGACTAGTTGTTGGTGAAAAATCAATGTTAAAAGTGTTAAATGGGGGTCGACGGTTGTTTTACCGTCGTAATAATAATATTATGATGGTTAAATATACCGTCGCAAAATAAATATTAGGGACGGTTGGTGTCAACTGTCGTAAATATTGTCTCTATATGTCAATTACGACAGTTATCACATAACTGTCGCAATTTTTGTGTCGTTAAACACTAATTTTCTTGTAGTGCCCACAAACACAAAGAAAAGAAATTTTTTAAAACATGTTGAGCAAGTACCTAAGAGCCCGTGAATAACCACGGATAGAAAGGGTGCTAACACCTTCCCTTTCTATAATTTACCCCCCGGACCCGAGAAACATCTCGAAAAAGGAATTTTTCTGTGCTTTTTTCCTTTCCTTGTTGGATAAAATAAAAGACGGTGGCGACTCTTGCTTACCGCGACATTTTGAAAAAACAAACGCAAAATGCGAACCAGCATTCCAAAAACAGCCAGTTCTCTCCCACCGTATCACAAAACTGGCTACTCTGCCGGGGAGATACTTTTTATAAGTGGGGTGTACCTTAGGATTAGATCATTGTGTTTTCAATTGTTTGCTTTGTATGCTTTATATTTGTGGGCTTGTATCAGAGTTACTATAGATCCTAACCCGGATCTAGGGGAACCCTATAGGTAAGTAGCAATAAACTGTGAGGGAACTGTACAGCGTAGACCGATACGGTTGAAGCAGTAGTTATGTTGGTGTGGCACTTTAGTATGTACCGATATCCCTTGTGGCGCAACGAGGAGAATATGGGTCTGCTAAGGGGTCATTAAGCACCAACTGACCTTAGAACCTTTAAATTGACCAACTTGGCCATAGAACAGTAGCAGTATGCTACACTCATTGAGACCAAACTCTCGCGATGATTCCGGCCGTAAGAAAAGGTTGCTAAACTGGAATTATGACTGATCAAGGATGGTCAGTGATATTGAGATCCTCTAGAACCCAGTTATTATTTCTAGGACAGGTTGAACTAACTAAACTTAAAGAGGGTAATACCTAAACTCTATGCCAGCCTAAACTTAAGGCTGTTTGTGTGACTTGTGTGCCTTCAAACTTGAACTACTTGCACATTCTTGTTATCTGACAACATGAGTTCTGTTGTACCCAAAAATTTTCCCTCCCATTCTCTCAACATTTCTCATCACAAGACTCTTGAAGATCAAGATCCAGTTAGGGTTTCATCTGCTCAAGACTTCTCCTTGCACTGTTGACCCAAATTAGGGTTTGTGTTTGCACAAAGATGTTTTGACCTAAAATGCCTAAGATAACCTTCTTGCTTCATATTGGACTCCCAAGTTTATCCATATCAAGTTTCAAGTCTTGATTCCAAGTTTTGCCCAGTCAATTGGACAGTTGACCTAGAAATCAACTGTATTGGGGAAAAAGTCAACTGTGACCAATTGACAGTCAAATCTCATGAAAATTGACCCACATCAACATTATGAACTCATATGAACCATTTGATCAAGTTTGGATCACAATTCCACAAGAAATTTGATCAGATCACCAAAAGGGCAAAATGGTCATTTTTAGGGTTTTGACTGCACAAAGGCAATTTTTGACTGTTTGACCCAACCAATGGCAAACCAAGCTCACATATGGACTCAAGGACCCCATGGAATTATCTTGACATGCTCAACAAGTTCAAAAGATCCCAAGTACACAAGATTGACAGTTGAATTTCCCAGTCAATTGATCAATTTTGACTGTATACTGAAAAGTCAAACTTTGACTTTTTGGTCAAAATCAAGAGTCAAGATTCCTTTTTCATCAAAACATGCCAAATCATGAAACTTGTTCACCAAGAAATCAAAAATTGCAAATTAGGGTTTGAAATGAGAATTTTTCATAACTTAGAATTTTTCTAAGTTATGAAAAACCCTAATTTTTTCCCAACTTTGCCCCACTTTCTCACCAAGATTCATTTGGATTCAAGCAAAAGTCAAAACATGAAAGTTGTAGCTTGTTTCATAATCTACAACTTTGATTCACAGAGTTTTCCCAAATGAGGCTTTTATCTCAAGTTACAATTTTTGGAATAAGGGTACTAAACCATTCTTAACTTAGTGAAATTTTAACCTATTTTGGCAAGGTTTTCTACCTAACTTCAAGGCCATTTTCCATACACTTCCACTTGGAATTTCAATTTGCATTTCAAAGATGGATTGTAGTACACATTCCAAGCTTTCCAAAATGTCTAAGAACTCATCAAACAACCTCATAACTTGAGAGATTCGAATTTTGCAATATGGCAAAAACTCACTTTTGAATTGGTCATGTACATGTTCATAACTTATGCCATCTTCAAGTCAGCTTGGTTTATGCTACATTACAGGCCCTTAAACCATCCAACACTCAATAATTTAATGCACGTTCATTGTGCTAAGGCTTTGTTTCATGAGTTTATGCATTACATTTTGAATTAAGCCATTTATGGAAAAAGCAAAATGGCCATTTTTGCAAAAGGCAAGCTTTATGTCATAATGCAAATCCAAGAGGTACAGATCAAATCCAATTGGCACAAGATTATGAGCAAAACACTCTGATCAAGACAAGGTTAGCAGCATGTTTAGGGGGCCTCTACTTGCCTAGAATATCAACTTGGCTTTGCTTGCTTAAGTGTTAAGAAACTTGGCATTTCACAAGATAACTTTGATCTCAGCATTAGAAACCTTAAGCAAATATTGTAGACATTTTCTAATCATCCTAACTAAGCTAGCACACGACTCCAATACCTCCAATACCACCATAAACTCAGAACCACCCTTAAACTGCTCAAATAGAGTTCTCACTGCAGTTTGAGTGCCAACTCTCATCCCTTGCATGTTTTCTTGCCCAAAGCTCATCAAACACATTCCCTAGCATCAATGCAAGCTAACCAAAACCTAAAACACGACCTGTAATTCCTCTAACCAGTTCCACCATTTTCACTTTCTTATTTTGCAGTTGAAGGTCCATAGTTCGATTCAAGGTGTCTCAAGGCAAAGTAAGCATTGGAATAGCATCACCACACTTCAGGCAAGCTGTACAGATCATCATCTTGCTCTGAAAGCTCCCCCATTGCCAGATAGAACTTCAACTGAACAGGTATTTTCTTGAACTTCTAACTCTTAGTCTAGGCATCATTAGCTCTAAGTTTGTGAATAAGAAGTGTTTTACTCATGCCCCTGAATCTGTACATGCTTTTACTTTTCATTTATTTTGCTTGAGCTGTGAGAATTTAAGGTTTGAATATGGCAGAAAACTTAGGTCAGGATTTGGGAATGTCAAAATTCTCTCTCATTTCTGAGAGTTAGGATGAGTTTTTTATATATTTAGAATCGTGATTCAATGCTTAACATTTCTTATGTTGGAAGTTTGTGCAAAAGATCAAAGAATCCAGGTGTTTGAATTGGAAGTACAGGCGCGCGTTTTTTTGAACGTTTTTGTTCAGAGGTTGAAGAAGAAGCTTCATGGGCTGGGCTTGCTTCTGATTTTCTTTTCACACCACATTTTTGGTTTCATACCCCCTGAGCCCATTATGTTTATTCTCATGATTTTTTGACTTTTCTTTTTTCATTTTGACTTATTAATTTTTGCTAATATTATTAAAAACATGAAAAATATTTTTTACACCATTTTTATATTTTTTAAGTATTTATTTGTTTATATGGACATTTGTACATAAATATATATATATATATATATATATATATATATATATATATATATATATATATATATATATATATATATATATATATATATATATATATATATATATATATATATATATATATATATATATATATATATATATATATATATTATTTAGAATAGATAGGAAAAATAGTGCAAATATACTTTATTTCTGATTTTTGTTTCATTTTTTTCTTTTGAAAATATTTTATACAAAATATACTTTTTTTTTATAAATATTAAATGTTATTATTTTTGTATATATAATATTTATTTAGTAAATAATAAGGATATTTATATATATTAATATACTTAGGGCAAAAATACCAAAATACATACATTTTTATTTTATTATTATTTAACATAAAAAAAAATACTTTTTATAAATATATTTCATTTTTATTTTATTTTTTTACATAATAAATAAATACTTGTATAAATTAAATAATATGTATATTACTTAATAAAAATTAGGGTTTCACCCTTAAAATACAAAAACTCCAAAAATAATAGTTTATTTTATTTTATTTATTTGACATAAATAATACTTTTTTTTCATACTTATAAAAACCTTTTTTTTACATTTTGCATCTTTATTTTATTTTCCATTTAATTTATGCAATCAATTATCTTGTAAATATTCCCAAAATTGATGTAATAGCTAGGTTTAATTTCCTTGTCTAAATATCCCCCCATTTGAACATTTGTACCCTCCTTCCCATATTGTGTTGTAATAGTGTAGGAATTTTACTTTTCGCACTTTAAACGCTTTCTAAATATACCATGCTAGAATTAGAGTTTGTATGCAAATAAAACGAACAAAAATAGCTTGACCTAATTTCAAGATAAACAAGCATGAAAATAGACAACACATATCACACT